CACTGTGTTTGGGTTGGTCAGGTGTGTGTGTGTGTGTGTGTGTGTGTGTGCTCACTGTGTTTGGGTTGGTCAGGTTTCTTGCATCTGTCAACCAGCTGCTCAGGTGATTATAAGTACTTCTCCTAAAAACACAGAAACAAAGTTATTCACCTAAAGATCAAACAGATATCACACACACAGTCTCTCTCACACACACACACTACCTAGTGATGTCGTACACCATGAGGGCCCCGGCGGCCCCTCTGTAATAAGACCTGGTGACGGCCCTGAAGCGCTCCTGACCGGCCGTGTCCCAAATCTGCAGCTTCACCTTCTGACCGTTGACCTCCATGATCCTGGTCCCGAACTCCACCCCGATGGTGTGAGGACAGTCCGCCATGACTGTGCGCACGCGCGCGCGCACACACACACACACACACACACACACACACACACACACACACACACGTGTTTCTAGTCTCTGATCATGTTTCATTGTAAACAACCAGTGTTTAGACCAACAGGAGAGCTAGTAACGTTAGCAGCACCGCTAACGGCTAACCAACAGGAGGTTCACTTCAGTTACACTATGATGCCTTCAGGCTCTGCTCAGTGAACATGAGTACTGGCTGAAGGTACATTATAACGTTATCGTGATGTGTTCACGTGTCATCTGTAAAATGTAGTTTTGGTGATAAACTTGAATAAATCCAGTAGTTTGGAGATGTTTATGAATATAAAATAGATATTAGAGATGAATTATGATGTTTAACTTCTAACACGAGCTCTAAGAACATTATTATACTTCAGTAATAACAATTCATGTGAGGATGAGAAGCCGCAGAGAAGAAAGGACTCACATTTCTTCTCTGTGAACTGATGCAGCAGACAAGACTTTCCTACTCCCATATCACCTGAGAGAGAGAGAGAGAGAGAGAGAGAGCGAGAGCACGAGAGAGAGACATGAGGTCAGACCGTCACCACGACCACAGAAAGTGAATCAGATCACTTCTGTTTGAACTTCTCTCGTTACACCGACTGTAAATTAGATAGAATCACAATCATGACATCATCAATGTTGATCTACTTCCTGTTGTGTCCATCATCATCATCATGACTCATCAAACTCACCGATGATGATGTACTTGAAGATGTAGGAGTAGTTATAAGGTGCAGCCGTCATCTTGATGCTGTGAGGAAAAGAAAAGACAGGAAGACCGAGTCCACATCCTGTCAGAGAGTCCCGATGCTGAAACCAACTTTCACATTTGTAAAAGCTTTATTCTATTTGTGAAAATACAAAAAAAATAAAAAATAAAAAAATAAATTAAAAAAAAAGAGAGATTTCACATCTAGACCGGGACCAGAAGAAAAACCACTACAGTTAGATGGGTTGAATCTGGACTAGATAATCCCAGAGAAGCCAGAGACTCTTTAGGACCCAGTCAGATCACGTTGTGGAAACACTGGAAACCAGTAACATTGGTTTTAAGACCTGGTGGTCTAGATGTGGAGGAAAAGAAGCAGTGAAATCTCACAAATCTGAAATTGTGTTCAAGTGTAATTATCTGACTTCTCTGAGACAATCTAGTCCCGATCTGACCGGTCTAAGTCTAGTGGTCTCTGATCTGGACCTGGTCTCATGTGGTCTGGGCGTGACAAAAACAAATAAATCTCACTTTTTTTGCATTTTTCACAAAAAGGAAGCAGCCAGCTATGCTAACACACAGCTAGGCTAACACACCGAGCTCATCTCATAGCACGAGACGTTAACCGCCGTGACAGTCTTGCGGTGTGAATGCGGTCATCTTTAGCGGAAGTATTAAACACCATCAGCTGACTTCTGTGTTAGCTTAATTCCGGAGCTAACATGCTAACAGCTGCAGTGATGTCAACGCCTATGCTAGCAGGCTAGCAGGCAGGAGGCCACATTTAATCAACAGTAATGAGATAATAAAGCAATGAGTTGAACATGCTGGTGCTTTACCTTCGGTCCGGGTGTCTATCTAACCGGTAAGCCTGATTAAAGTGGTGATTAGACGGGTAGTTATCTTTTAATTAGCTGGTTAGCCCGGTGATCCGTCAGGAAGCCTTTTCAACTCTCTTCCGTGATTATTCTTCTTCTGCGGCGATAAACATGGGAAACACCGCGAGACTTGGGATGTTTACCGCCACCCAGCGGACGAGAGGAGGACAGTCACACAGACGGACTATTTATATATGATAATATTATTATTTAATGATGAATACAAATGAGTGTTCTTGTGTTTATTATTATTTGTGTGTGATTTGTCTTTTGAATAATTGTGACTGTTTTATGTATTTTAAGGGATTTCACACTTTCCATGTTAAATTAAGGTAAGCAGGTGAGTGTTGCTGAGTGTTCCAGTTTTAACTGACAGTCTGCAGGTGATCCAATAAAAACCTTAATAAAGCAGGTTTACTGTATAACATGTGACATGCAGGTGGAGGTCACATGATCACCTGCAGAGTCCCTTAAACAGCCTGCAGACTGAAACACAGACATTTAACGTGATAACAAAAGCATTTTAAACTTTTTTTTAATGTCCATCAAGCTTAACAAGCTAACTGGTTCATGGGCATTATTTTCATTATTATGATATTTATGTAAAGCAAAATTTCGTCACTATAAGACAAACCTCTGAATTGTTCACATTGCTTAACTTTGACTTAACAGACTTTAAAGTTTCCAACAGAACAAAATACAAACTTTATTGTTAACAAGTGGAAATGTATCTTCAGCTCACCAAAATATAAAAACAGCCCGAAACATGGATCATAGAAGAAATAACACATCGAACATACAAGACAACACTGACGTTAAAATCATTCATAGAGAACACTTCTGTACAGAGTTTAAATCTCATCACATTTAAGTACAATTATGAGTATTATTATTCAAAATATATACGATAAAAGCACACTCAAAGTTCTAATTGTTTTGCTACTTTTACTAATAATATATAATATAAATAATACAATATACATTTTTGCACCACGATGATTTCAAAGTTATAAAGTAAAAACAAAATTAATTAGTAAATTAGAATTTTTAATATTACGGTATCATTTTACAGATCAGTGTTTCTCCTGAGATTATTATAAAGCCCAGTAAATATAAAAATGATAAAAAAGATGAAATGGCAGTCCTGTAAATAACCATAAATGAGAATTTGTATATTGTGACATCGTGCAGATCATGTGAGAAACAGTTACATCAAAGAGATGAAGATTAAAAACAGAACTAATTCAAACAAATGTGTGACCTGAAATCTACAACAATAAATCAATAAGTGAGCACAGAGTTTAACACAGAAGAGGAAACACAGCAGCTCCGACTCATTTCTTCAGCTGCTTCAAAGCTCCGACAACAACAGGAACTCAGATTAGTGGTTAAAAAAAAACGTTCAGACAGAAAACTTCAACATTTACTTTTTAAGCTCAGAAAACAGCACTTTGTTCTGTTTACTCAATAATGTGTTCACACATCCGGATTTCTTTCATGGGCTGCTTGACGATACGCTTGATGACAATGATTGCAGAAAGTATAAATCAAGTGTTAAAGACGACACACAACACTGTCTCTCTTGATTTTGGGGAAGAATTTTCAAGGTGCAACAACAACTTGTCATATAAAGAACCACCACGGTGTTTCAGCTTGAGGGCCTTCATAAAACACATAACACATAACAGTTAGATGGGGCAGAACCTTTTCTTAAATATAAAAGACAACCACTACCACAAAAGCAAAGCCAAAGCTTCATGTGTCAAAGCTGCATTCTCTCTAGTGTCCACCAGGGGGCGACTCCTCTGGTTGTATAGAAGTCTATGAGAAAATGACTCTACTTCTCTCTTGATTTATTACCTCAGTAAACATTGTAAACATGAGTTTATGGTCTCAATCTCTAGTTTCAAGTCTTCTTCAATACAGCATGATGTTCATTTAGTACATTATGGTCCATTTAGAGTCAAACAGACCATAAAGCAGGGGATGCTTTAGGGCGGGGCTTACTGTGATTGACAGGTCTCTACCACAGCATTGTCCGTTTTCGTCTTACAGCTTTAACCCTCTAACGGTGTGTTTTCACTTCAAAGTTCATTGTAACATTTCGATCGCCTAAAATGTGTTATTCAGTGTTGGCTTGTACTTAGCTCCACCCTCTCATATCACTTCTGGTTGCAAAAAACCAAGATGGCGACGATCAAAAACCAAGATGGCGACGTTCAAAAAATAAAAATGTTCTACAAACTTCAAGTGTTGCTGCAGTTTTACCTCCATTGAATTTGGTGACATGTTTGGTGATGTGAGGTCATTGCTCAGCACTAATCCAACATAATCTCATAACTTCATATTTGATGAAGACATTAGTGAGTAACTAACTAACTCTGTGTTTTCTGTTGATGCAGTTTGATTCTTTTGGGTTCGTCACCCATCGACGGTTTAGAACAGAGAACAGAGAAGTGTCATGCAGCGGATAAACGCTGGATCAGCGTTATGTTAGACACAGACATTCAGTTAGTTTAAATCAAGTCCATGTTGGATTTCAGAGGCTTCTTCAGTTAAGAGGAGATGATGATGATGATGATGATGATGATGATGATGATGATGATGATGGATGGATGGTGTCAAGCAGCAGCTTTGGTTTCCCATTCCTGTGAAAACAGAAACAAAATGATTGAATGACGACTGTGATAGATCGGCCCTGTCGACAGGAACGAATGTTGTCACATTGTACGTTTCTGAAAACGTACAATGTATTCAGTCAGAGTAAGTGATGTAGTACAACGAGCAACCACTATTTAAAGTTACATTGTAGTATAACAATATGACGAGCAATAAAGTCCACTTCGGGTTGGATGAGTCAAAAAATCAGGACTTTTACCCAGTTGTCACGCTACGAAGTGGCGTTACGTGGTGGTGTTCGCATTACGTGGTGGCGTTACGTGGTGGCGTTACGTGGTGGCGTTACGTGGTGGCGTTACGTGGTGGCGTTACGTGGTGGCGTTACGTTGTTGCGTTACGTTGTTGCGTTACGTTGTTGCGTTACGTTGTTGTATGCGTTACGTTGTTGCGTTACGTTGTTGCGTTACGTTGTTGCATGCGTTACGTTGTTGCGTTACATGGTGGCGTTACGTGGTGGCGTTACGTGGTGGCGTTACGTGGTGGCGTTACGTGGTGGTGTCACGTGGTGGCGTTACGTGGTGGTGTTACGTGGTGGCGTTACGTTGTTGCGTTACGTTGTTGCGTTACGTTGTTGCATGCGTTATGTTGTTGCGTTACGTTGTTGCATGCGTTACGTTGTTGCGTTACATGGTGGCGTTACATGGTGGCGTTACGTGGTGGCGTTACGTGGTGGCGTTACGTGGTGGCGTTACGTGGTGGCGTTACGTGGTGGCGTTACATGGTTTGTTTACATTGCACAGGGGATGTGAGTGATTTGTAGGTAAAACAGCAGCAGAGTGAACCTTTAAACCAGAGTCTGTAAACAGGAAGCAGTAAATCAGTGAAACTCACCTTCCTCCTCTGGAAAACCTTCCCATGTTCGATGAAAAGCGATGAAGGAGCTCGTCTCAGAGAGATCTTAGCCGAGGCCGTCCGTCGCAGCAGAGGGTTCAGGAAACCCGCCTGGACAGCAGGGACCAGCAGAGACCAGCAGAGACCAGCAGGGACCAGCAGGGACCAGCAGAGACCAGCAGAGACCAGCAGGGACCAGCAGGGACCAGCAGAGTGTCAAAACAACAGTGTTGTTCAGTTTCAGTACACTGTAACTAATCCACATAAAGTTCTTCATTTTTATGTGCGCATGTATGCGTGAATGTTTATATATTTATATACTTAATTTTCATTTATGTATCTCTTCAATATTTCTGTATTATTATAGGTCAGGTTTATTAGTAGTAATATGTCATGATCACTATTTTCCGGTTTCATATAAATGAACACGTATGTATATTTATAATCTGCACCTTATTGATTATCTTTATTATTTTTTGTTTTATTTGCACTCTTTCCTACTTCGCAGTACAACAGTTTCCCTCTGGATGAATACAGTTTTATCTTGTGATGTAAAATATACATATAGAAGTTGAACTAACTGAATAAAGTTGTTCCCACCTGAGCGCGCTCACTGCAGACGGCCAGCGACTGTCTGAAAGAGGTGCGTTTGTTTTGCTTCCCTGCAGACGCCAGGTTGACCTCTGACCCCGCCCTCAGCGGCACCATCCTCTTCTCCGTCAGCTCCAGCTTCTGAACGCCTCGCTCCACCTCCACCGACCTCCTGTCTGAAACACACACACAGTCAACAGCAGCATCTGTGTCTCATGAACAGAGCTTCATAGTGCTGAGTGTAAAGGCTGCTCATGAGCGGAGGCTCACTGAAGACTGTCTTGTTGTTGTTGCTCATGGAGTCTCTGGACGACATGGAGAATGAATCCTGAGAGCTGTGGAGCTGAAACAACACAAACACTCTTCATCAACAATGACTCCTCAACAGTTACATAACAGTCTCAACTAATTCTCTTCAGTCAGCTACAACTTTGATCATTTTATTCAAGTCTGACATAAATGAACAACAAATAAATAAGAGACGAGTTCTATGACGGCTGTTCTTGTTTATAATATATTTAATGTAGAAGTAGAAATGCTCATAAAGCACTGAGAGAATAAATTATCTTCAACAACAAGTTATTACATGATGTCACATTATTATCATATGAAGAGCTCACTACAGTATTTAGTACATTAAGAACATGAAATGTTTGTTCCATGAAGCCTTCAAACAGTGACCTGCTCATCTCTACAGGGATCAAAGGGAAACATTATCTTTAATAAAGTAGCAGCTACAGTTCTGTGAGTGATGACATAACACGATGACGCTCTGAGAGCGTGGTGAATGGTAGTTTCCCGCTCACTAGCGGAGCGTACCATGTGCTCCAGCAGGGGGGTGTTGGAGTAGATGGGCTGCTCTCGGCCGCTTCCACTCAGCTGGAAGGGGTCGTCCATGTAGGTGTTGGAGGTGGGAAACCTTTGAGTCTGCAGCCCACTGAGGAGAGAAACACACATAATACAAGAGAAGAAGAAGAAGAAGAAGAAGAAGAAGAAGAAGAAGATGAAGAAGAAGAGGAAGAAGAAGGAGACATGCTTCAGCTGGTTGAACGTCTCTTACCTGAGAGCTCCTCCTGTGGACTCCTGAGTGACGGCTGCTCCGTCCTGCAGCAGCTTCAACCATCGCTCCTTCTCACCTGAACTACTCACCTGGAGGAAGGAAGGAAGGAAGGACACATGAACAAGTGAATGAATCCAAATGAATCCTGTCTTCCTGCCTCTCCAGCTCACCTCCAGCACAGCCACCTGGTCACCGAGCATGCTCAGTGTGATCCTGAAGGAGCGGTCGGTGTCGGGCCCATCAGTGACCTCACATCCTGTGAGCTGGACGGTGTACTGAGGAGACCTCTTCATCTCCTCCACCTCCTCCTCCTCCACCTCCCCCTCTCCAAACATGTTGAGAAGACCCGCCTCCACCCGACACAGTAAACTCTGCCACTGACAGTTCATCAGCACGCTGAGGACACCTGTCAATCAAACACACCTGAGGTCAGAGGTCACTGGTGATTTTAAGGAGCTGCTTTTCCTTTACTAACGGAACTAAGTGCATTTACTTTACTTGAGTATTTCTATGTCAGGGTAGTGTGGAGAATTTCAGTATTAAACGCATTATTAGTAGGATTTAATAACACCCCTGGTGGTGAGTAGAAGTGTTACAATAATAAATATGTTAGTCACAATATGTTTCCATATGGAATGTATTATAGGTTTACAATATTCTTACTTATAGAGGATATTATATGTTACAGTATATTAACTCATTGAATGTATTAAATCATAGAAGTATAGTCACTGTAGGTATTAAAACACTAAGAATAGTTTTGAGGGTCAGATAGGGATTGTGAGTGAGGTGTCAGACATGCAGCAGCAAATGGAGGCGACCTCATCGATGGAGGATGGGGCCAGTGGGACGGTCAAATGCCAAGCTGACCAGCAGGACAGAGAGGAGGAGTCCAAGATGTTTTGCGAGGAGCCAAGATGCTTTGCTAAGGGATCGATAATGGGAGGGGACAGAATTCGAATGAAGCCAATCACCAATCGCCACGGAGGGTCATTCACACGTTTTATGACAGTATCGGACACTTTCCGACTCTCAGGGGATACAAAAGACAATGTTTGAGGGAGTTTACCTCAGATCACTGCAGCTCTCATTTTCAGCTAACTGGCCGCGGCGGACTGTGAGGAGATGCGTGTATGTGGTCTCTGCTCTCGAGAACATTACTATTGATAGTTAATTCAGTTTGTAAGTGAACTTTGTGTAGTACATTAAATATTGTTTTAATTTGAACCGGGTCCAGCTCATTCTTCTGATGCGCGTGCGCAGTAAGAAGCTCGCAGCAGAAGAGTACCTGCGGCCTGCAGGCTCCTTCATCCTTTGTTCTTAAAAACCTAACAGTAGCTTGTACTTCTACTCCGTTAATTATGAATCAAACTAATAAATAAAATAAATAAAAAATAAACAAAAAGATAAAATAAATTAAAAATAAATCATACAAATGGATAAAATGTTTTAAAATTAATCTAATAAAGAGATGAAATGAAATAAAAATAACAAATATATAATTAAAATACAAATGATTCTAACAAATAGATAAACTAAAAGTAAGAACAAATCTAACACATAGATAAATAATATGAAATATAATCTAACAACATTAATCTAATAAATATATGAAATAAATAAAACTGAAAGTAAAACCTCAGTACAATTTGGAGGTACTTGTACTCTACTTGAGTATTTCCATTTTAAGCTACTTTCTACTTCTACACTAAATCTCAGAAGTCAATATTTGACTTTTTAATGTTCTACATTTATCTGACAGCTTTAGTTACTTTATAGATTCAGATTATTAATACAAAATACAATAAACTAATATATTATGATGTAATATTATAGATAAAGGTACAACTTTACTGTTATGGACTACTACTACTACCAACAATAATAATAATCACAATAATAATGTTTTCCGTACCTTTGTGTTTGTTGGTTCTGCAGCCAGCTGAATGTTTCTGCTCAGACTCAGTCTGGACTGAACTGGACTGAATAAACAACAGTGAATTATTTATTATTAATATTGTATATTACTTTGACTTACAAAACATTATACATTCACCAAAGAGCTGCTATACAGTTACAGTACATACATAAATAAAGCTTCTTTCATCGGTCCAGTCCGTCGACAACAACATTCACAAACACCTGTAGAACTGAAATACTGAATCAATAATTCATCTGACCTTCTCTTCCAGACTTTTGAGAGAAAATTAGACAAATAACAATGAAACAGTCATTCTATGTTAAATCTGATGACCACGTTTGAGTCCGATGAGACTGAAAACCACCGGAATAAGATACTTAAAGATGTTTGTCTCTGTTATTTGTAACCATCTAAGGGGTTTCGTGTAAAGTTAAAATATATTTATATATATTTATGGAGGAAGTCTCACCCTGCAGGACAGCAGCTGGTCTGATCTGATCAGAGACGACGAGCTCTGAGTCTCCTCTTCACCTCCAACACTCACCTCCTGGATCACCTGGAGACACAAACACACGGTCCTCAACGTCTCAGTAGATACACAAACACACGGTCCTCAACGTCTCAGGAGATACACAAACACACGGTCCTCAACGTCTCAGGAGATACACAAACACACGGTCCTCAACGTCTCAGCAGATACACAAACACACGGTCCTCAACGTCTCAGCAGATACACAAACACACGGTCTTCAACGTCTCAGTAGATATACAAACACACAGTCCTCAATGTCTCAGCAGATACACAAACACACGGTCCTCAATGTCTCAGCAGATACACAAACACACGGTCCTCAACGTCGCAGTAGATACACGAACACACGGTCCTCAAGGTCTCACTAGATGCATGAACACGGTCCTCAACGTCTCAGTAGATACACGAACACACGGTCCTCAAGGTCTCAGTAGATACATGAACACGGTCCTCAACGTCTCAGGAGATACACGAACACACGGTCCTCAACGTCTCAGTAGATACATGAACACGGTCCTCAACGTCTCAGTAGATACATGAACACGGTCCTCAACGTCTCAGTGGATACATGAACACACGGTCCTCAACGTCTCAGTAGATACATGAACACACGGTCCTCAACGTCTCAGTAGATACATGAACACAGTCCTCAACGTCGCAGTAGATACACAAACACACGGTCCTCAACATCTCAGTAGATACGCGAACACACGGTCCTCAACGTCTCAGTAGATACACAAACACACGGTCCTCAACGTCTCAGTAGATACGCGAACACACAGTCCTCAACGTCTCAGTAGATACATGAACACAGTCCTCAACGTCTCAGTAGATACATGAACACAGTCCTCAACGTCTCAGTAGATACATGAACACAGTCCTCAACGTCTCAGTAGATACACAAACACACGGTCCTCAACGTCTCAGTAGATACACAAACACACGGTCCTCAACGTCTCTGTAGATACACAAACACACAGTCCTCAACGTCTCAGTAGATACATGAACACAGTCCTCAACGTCTCAGTAGATACATGAACACAGTCCTCAACGTCTCAGTAGATACATGAACACAGTCCTCAACGTCTCAGTAGATACATGAGAAGCTGCTATAATCAAACATCAAAGAGATCTGTTAATATTGATCATCAATGGTCAATAATTAGTGTTGGGGGCACAAATAACGTGACCTGGAATCTAAAAGTTATATTTGTTTTTGGTGACCTCTGACCTTCCTCCACTCGTCGGCCTGCTGGAAGCTGCTGTAGCCCAACACCAGCGTCTCTGAGCCCAGTAGAACCAGTTTGAGCTGGTGCTGGATCTTCCTGTTGCTCTTTGACTTGTAGACGAGCTGACAGCCGCGCAGGTTCAACTCCAGCTGAGGGAGCAGGTCCTGAGCACACTTATAACACTGAGACACACACACACACGCACGCACACACACACACACACATAAATCCTGATACAGCCTTATGTAGTACATTTGTGAGGTACTTACACTTTACTTGAGTATTTATATTTTCTGCTACTACTTCTGCTCCACTACATCTCATAGGTACATGTTGTACTTTATACTGTACTACATCTTAAAGGTACATATTGTACTTTTTACAGTACTACATGTCAGAGGTACATATTGTACTTTTTACTGTACTACATCTTAAAGGTGCATGTTGTACTTTTTACTGTACTACATCTTAGAGGTACACGTTGTACTTTTTACTGTACTACATCTAAAAGGTACATATTGTACTTTTTACAGTACTACATGTGGGAGGTACATATTGTACTTTTTACTGTACTACATCTTAAAGGTACATGTTGTACTTTTTACTGTACTACATCTTAGAGGTACACGTTGTACTTTTTACTGTACTACATCTTAAAGGTACATGTTGTACTTTTTACAGTACTACATGTCAGAGGTACATATTGTACTTTTTACTGTACTACATCTTAAAGGTACATATTGTACTTTTTACTGTACTACATCTTAAAGGTACATATTGTACTTTTTACAGTACTACATGTCAGAGGTACATATTGTACTTTTTACTGTACTACATCTTAAAGGTACATGTTGTACTTTTTACTGTATTACATCTTAGAGGTACACGTTGTACTTTTTACTGTACTACATCTCAGAGGTACATATTGTACTTTTTACTGTATTACATCTCAGAGGTAAATATTGTACTTTTTACTGTACTACATCTTAAAGGTACATGTTGTACTTTTTACTGTACTACATCTCAGAGGTACATATTGTACTTTTTACTGTATTACATCTCAGAGGTACATATTGTACTTTTTACTGTATTACATCTCAGAGGTAAATATTGTACTTTTTACTGTACTACATCTTAAAGGAACATGTTGTACTTTTTACTGTATTACATCTCAGAGGTACATATTGTACTTTTTACTGTACTACATCTTAAAGGAACATGTTGTACTTTTTACTGTATTACATCTCAGAGGTACATATTGTACTTTATACTGTACTACACTTTACAGATTCAGATTATTATTCAACTAACAAATGATGATGTAATATTATGTAATATTGATGAACGTATGAATACATGAACAATTATATAATTCAATAATATATTATTCTGCATGATGATTAACTTTTGGTACTTGATGTATATTTTGATGCCGGTACTTTTCTACTTTTCTTCAGTAACATGTTGAATGCAGGACACAGAGTATTTCTACACTGTTGTATTCCTACTTGTACTTGTACAAGATATGAGTACTTCTCCCACATCTGCAAATACTCCTGTAAAGTAGGAGTACTATAGTGGGTGTGTTTCCTGGTCTCACCAGCAGCACGTTGCTCCGGATGATGAACAGCTGTTTGGTCCACTGTCCCAGCCACTTCCTCTTCCACAGGTGACCACAGAGACGGGACTCGGGGGCGGGTCTTAGGCAGGGCTGGGAGGCGCTCCATTGGACGTAGTGAGCTCTGTCCTTCGCAGGCTCATCATCATCATCATCATCCTCACCATACGACTCGTAGTGACTGCTGTCTGACTCCGCCTTCTCTGAGGGAGGGACGAAGACGTGTCAAAGTTTATACAACGTGTGTGTGTGTCTGTGTGTATGTTTGTGTTTGTGTGTATGTGTGTTTGAGTGCGTTTGCGTGTGTGTGTGTGTGTGTGTGTCTGTGTGTATGTGTGTGTTTGAGTGTGTGTGTGTGTGTTTTTGAGTGTGTTTGCATGTGTGTGCGTGTGTCTGTGTGTATGTGTGTGTGTGAGTGTGTGTGTGTGTGTGTGTATGTGTGTGTGTGTGTGTGAGTGTGTGTGTGTCTGTGTGTATGTGTGTGTTTGTGTG